AGTTAAGCTCCGGACTTGAACTTTTAAAGTGTAGCTTTCATAAATATGTTAAATAAGTTCAAGAATCAAATGTATTAAAGAAACGTAAATAAGTAAATTACTAAATAATATTAGCTTGCATTGTGTTTGCATTGCATTTACTTGTGCTTTAATCTGGGAATTATTGGGCCCAGTGCTGTGCTGATCCTATTTAAGCACCTGCTGATGCCCTCGCTGTAAAAACAAGACCTATGCACATACACTTGCCTAGACGTCGCACGCCCTTGTCTCTATGTGTGTTGGGCTATGACGATGATGATGCCATAAAGGAGATAAACCCGTCGCATAAAATGGTGTCACATATGCGCAACATTAATCTGCTTTGAAATTATAAAAGTGGAGTGTACGCAGCGTCGCTGAAAAAATTATGAAATTAAAATAACAACCACCACGAACAGACCAGGCCAAGGGCTGAAGCCTTCGTCTGCAACTCCGACTGTGACTGCCACTGTGCCAGGGTACTTCGTTGAGGGCAACGCCAAACGGGGCTCTCCCTCTCTCTCTATCTCTCAAATCATATTCATATGCAAAGCAAGAGCAACAGTAACAACAACAACACAATGACAAAAAGTAATGATGCCAACACCAAGCCTGACATTATAACAAGAGCAACAATAGCAACAACAACAACAACAACAACAACAACGGAACAGGAGGTAGCATCAGCAGGCGACAGGCGGCAACAATAACGAGGGAATTACGAGCATCAAAATGCGCAATGAAAATAAATTAAAGTTTCAGAAACAACAAGCTCAAAGGAGTCCACAGCACAGCACATCACACAGCGGCAGATTACCTCTAAATGAGTGGGAAGGGGGGCGGGCGAAGGCAAACTGCAATTGCCACAAGTGTACAACATGAAGAGCTTTGTGTAGGTGGACAGCGCGACAAAGAAAAACTTTGAAACTTTGGAAAATACGTAAGAAATTTGCATAAAATTGACAGCGGAAATTTTGTTAGCCACCGCATAATGGCCACTTGGAGCAGCTGTAAACAGCTCGTAAAAGTAATTACAGCTGTGGCGGACCGAGGGGCGAGCCTAACTAAAAGGCAGAGGTGTTGGTGTCACAAATGAGCGGGCCGCTGACTGTCTAATGTGTTGAATGTGTGTGTGCCACTAATTATAGGCAACTTAAACGCAACTAATTTTCACACTTGGAAAATGATTAAAACTCCATTTGTGTGTGTTCGTGTGTGTATGTCTGTCTGTGTATTTGTGTGTATATTGTATATGCCACAGCGCTCAGCGCAGCGTGCAGCTTAAGCAACCAGCTCAGCACCTTGGCTAATTAATATTAATTGAATTTGTTGGTCAAGCGTGTGTGTGTGTGTCTGTGTGTGTGTGCCTGGGTGCGTGGCAATCCGCACAGCTGTTGTGCCATTCAATTGGAATTGGAATTGGAATTGGAATTAGCAGCGGCTGCCAAATAGAAAAGAAAGAAGACGAGAAGTGCATGTACTTCACACCAACTGATGACCAACTAATGCCTACTCCAACACCGTCTGCAGGTCACGAAACGGGAGCGGAAGCAGCGCCGATGAAGCGTGTGCCCCGTTCGCCAGGAAAGTTCCAGCCAATTATAGTTCAATTATATTGTTGGCCGGGAAGGTGAGCGAGATATATTGGCAGTGCATAGGTCGAGCTCTGGCTGGGGTCAGTTGTGATCGGGATCGGGGCATAGTCACACAGTTGCCCAGCTGACACTTGGCAGTTGGCAAAGTGAGAGCGTGCACCCACATCAGTTGTCAGTTGCAAAGCGCTTTGAGTACAAAGAGTTCCCATATATATATCTCCCTTTTGACACATATAAATATATATGGACAGACGAGATTAGGTTTTCATAATCTTTTATTTCATAATTTATTACAATTGAAAATTATGTTCAATATTTCTTTCTCATATTTCTTTTGCATGGTTTTTAGTTTGCTCTCTCTTCAAGTTGTTGTTCTATTTGCCTTTCAATATGCTCTTATCTTAGGGGCTCTGATTTTTATTTCTTTACATAGAAGCTTCAATTAATTTATTAAGTTAATGATAATTTTGTTTTCAATATAATTAAGTATAATTTTTATATTTAATTATTTTTATGCTTTCGTTTGCTTTCCATTTAATCCTAAAAATTTAGTTAAAGTTAGTTTTTACACGCACAAACATTTATTTTATTATAAATATATTAATTTGCATATTTACTGTTGCTTTCTTTTATTTTTGCATATTTTTTTTCAACTATAGAGTTAGCTTTCCCTCCTGTTCTAACTCCTGTCCAGTGCACACTCTCTATCTCTCGCTCGATCGCTCTCTCTCTCTCTCTCTCTCTCTCTCTCTCTCTCTCTCTCTCTCTCTCTCTCTCTCTCTCTCTCTCTCTCTCTCTCTTTCTCTTAGATTGTGTGTTTACCTTTCTCTGTCTTCTTTTGCTCTTCTATAGGTTCCATGCTGTCGCGTGGGTAAGTCGAAGTTGTATAATTTGTTTGTGCACTTTTTAGTCTATGTTCAGTGTTGCATTTGGTTGCGTTTTTACCAACTAGCATTCCACACATTTTAATTATATTTTCTGATTTTCTGTTTATGTTTAATCATGCATGCGTTTATAATTAATGCAATGTTTTTGCGCTATTTACAAAATATTTTCAATGAGAGGTTATCAAAAATGTACAATATTTATTAAATATATGTATGTAAATATAATCATCGTAATAAATGTTGCTGTCGTCCTTAATAATCATATTAAATATTTACGGCGTATACATTAAAGTTTCGAGAAAAATCACATTTTAATTTAAATTCTGATACGAAAAAGTTGAAACATAAAAAGCATTAAAATTATTCCATATACAATATGTATTATTTATAATTGCTGTTAGCTTTTACTTCCTTCTTTTTTTTATTAAATTTTTTTTGTTTTTTGTTTAACCTTCCGTCTTTATTCTATGTAACGCTTATCAACACTGACACATAACGGGCACTTTCAAAATGCCAAGCAAGCGGTCACCACATACAAAATAATTGAGTTTCTAACTTACTTTTATCTAGATTCATAGATTCATATTTGCAACATCGTTTAGCGGTTTCAATGTACAAGCTTTTAATTGTGATGCGAATTTCTTGAGTAGCTGTTAACATGTTGGCACGAAGGAGAAATACGTGTACTCAATACGTACTTGGGAAATATAATGTGCGCCATTTAGATTTTTATATCTCAGATTTATCTTTAAGACTGCTTTTGAACCGGAATGACCCAAAATGAAACATAGTTCAAGATTCCCAACTTATTTATCCGAACTGCACTGCATTTCTCTCTCTCTCTCTCTCTCTCCCTCTTTCTCTACTTGGTATCTCTCAACATGTTAACATCTAGCATCTTATCTGGTGTTTGCGTTAGTGCTCTATTTCAATTCAACTGACTTTTGGTTCCTTTTGCTTATGCCATACATTTCTATAATAGTTATGCCTTTGTTTTTCTAAAATTAATAATAATATATCTAGTAATTTATAGTTTATATATGTATATATATAGACTCGTATACTTCATTCGCTTATTCCATGCTTTGGTTTTTATTTAAGGCGTTCTGTACAATTTGCGTTTAATCTTTTCTCAAGTCAATGGTTGTGTTGATTATTTAACTACCATTAAGTCTAATATATTACTATCAATGCATAGATCGTATAATTTTGTAGTTTTTAGTGAAAATTTGCATTTTGTTTTATATCCATTTTTTTAAATACGGCTTGCGAAAAAACATTTGCCTTTAGCAATTTGTAAATAATTTTTTTGTAGTTTTTCGTTCGTGCAAAACAATAGCATAATTTTTAATGGGATATTCTTCAAGAAGTTCGTATACGTTTGAGTGATTGTTTCAATTGTAGCTATATATAGGTAGTGTCTGGTAAATAAATCAGAAGTTACCACGAGAAAGAAGCTCACAATCTTATATTTAATTACAAACAGATAAATTATTTCTGCATCTTCCATACACTTGTTTTTATCTTGAGCTTAAAAAAGGTACTCACTTTTTTACACTTGACTAACATGGAAAGTAATCCGAAAAAAATACAACACCTAAATTTCAGTTTGTTTCTCTTTTCATTTACGTATATTCGTTACGTTAGTTTTTACAATTTTAAAAACGATGTAAATTCAATTTAAACGCACTTGTGCTTGCTGAATTCAGTTCCAATGTATAAAATTAAAGATTATATCGCAAATAATTCTGAATAAATTCTGTGTGTGGATGTATTTGTGTGTGCGTATGTGTGGGTGAGTGCTTGTACATGCTTTTAAGCAAAATAATTCCAACGACTTATTTCTCTTTGACAATCAATGCTCTGCAGTAGATACCCCTAACAATTCTTGGAAATATTCGAATAGATTCTATAAAGAGGCCGCTGAAAAGAAATTAACAAATCAAAACTAAAATCAAATAAAAACACCAGAAAATGTATTTTTGCAATTATTTTTCATATATGCATTTTACTCTTATTTTCATCATTTAATCATCATTCGTACAATGCGCTTGTTTTCACTTTTGTTTTGTTTTAAAATTAAATCATTAGTTAAGTAAATGTAATAATAATGATAATAGTAACTAAATATAACGCATACAAATTAAAATACATAAATAAAAGTACAATTTAAAATTATTCATAATTTATTATTTATATCTGCATCTGTATGTGTATGTGTATGTGTATGTGTATGTTAATGTATATGTTTAAGTATGTGTTTTATACTTGTATGCATATTATGGTTTAAGTGTGTGTACTTCATAATATATGTATATGTACGTGTGTGTATGTGATCGGTATATTCATATTCAAACATGTGATTTCATTTTCTTGGAAATAATACTACAAATACACACAAAAAAGAACAAAAATTTTAAACAAACTCCATTCAAAAGAGTATATATATTAATATATGTGTGTGTGATTTTTTCAAAATTAAATTCAATTTCTTTTTTTTTCTCTTTTCTTAAGTTTTGCAACGCGTAAAATTAGAAAACAATTCAATTTATTTAAATTAGAGTGCTAAACCTAAGATATACATACATAAGCATATACATAAGTAAGTAGTAGGTATTTTATGTTTTAATTATGTTTAATTAGTTATCGTTCTGTTTATATGTACATTTGTATGTATCCGTACAAACAAAGGTATAAACTATAAAAAAACATAAGCGTTTACTATAACTGACTTGTTAAAAGTACAAATAAAAATAAACTAAGCTCTAACAAAGAATTTTATGTATGTGATATTTTCGTTTTTTTTTTTCTATTTTTACCGTTTCTTCTTTCTTGTTTTCGACTTGTTAATTAAATAATTGTACGCAGCTTGGGATCCGTTTCAATATATCTCTTTGTTTTTCGTTTTGCTCAGGGGTATGCTGCTAGTGAGCGGGGCATTTCGTTATTCAAATTAAAACCTAGTTGATACACCAAATCATATTTATTGCTTTAGCTTCAATTTTAAATTCTATTTCGTTTTGGGTTGCGCCTAAATTCATTCTTTGAAATATTTGCATTTGCATTTGCCTTTTGTAGCTTTTTGAAAGTAATAATTTGCATAAAGGATATATAATTAGCAAGCTTGTGTGTGTTTATGTGTGTGTGTACGTGTGTGTGTGCAGGTGTTTGTTGGTTCTGATTCGTTTATTTAACTTAGAGCTAAGCGTTTCATTTTGTTTATGCATAAATATCTTTCTCTTTTTTTGTTGCTTGTTGTATTTGTTATTTATGTTTAAAGTATACACAAGAAGTTTCTCTTAAAATTGTTATTTGTTGTTGTTGTTGCTGCTGCTGCTGCTGCTGCTGCTGCTGTTGATGTTGATGTTGGTGATTCTGTTGTTGTGCCTGCCTTTCGATTAGCTAATATCTTATGTTTTTGTTTGTTTTGCTTTTGTATTTAAGATTTTACTACAGAATTACTTTGCTCTATTACTTGACTGATATTGCCACTCGGTATTGTAAGTTACACGGTTTAAAGGTCCTGGCCACTCTCGTTTCGTCCTGATCGGCTCCTCTGCTCTGTTTTAGTATGTAGTAGTAAGTTTAAGCTATGATTTTGGCTTTGTCGCTATCAGCGTGCTGCTCAACATCCGCTTGCGGGTACGCACTCGCCTTTGCCATCGCCATCGCCATCGCCTTCCACTTCCGCTTCCGCTTGGGCATCAGTTTCAGTGTCAGTGAGAGCTTCGACTCCAGTTAAGGCTTCCGCATTTGGCCCGTGCTCGTTGCTTGCGCTGGATTACAAGTGCTGTCCGTAGTATTCAGCGGGCGGGTAGTGCGGGTAGCCTTGATGGAAGCCTGGATCGCCGGGCGGACGATGCATCATGTGCGCCTGGCTGTCCATCATGTAGCCCATGGCATCGTGACCATAACCGGAGGGACCTGGATGCGGTGTATAAACTGTTGAGAGTTGCATGGGCAGAACAAAAGAAAAAAATGCACATAATTAGAAATCGCGTTCGAAATTAGACAAAGCTCCTAATTGGGTTTTCTTTGCTCTGCGCCATTTCATAGTTATGGATATTTTTTTAATTTTAGTGGGATTTTGGATATTTACCTGCTCGGTTCGATTGATCAATCATTGGCTGCACAATTCTTCGCCGCGCATTAATGAACCTGTGAAAGAGTTGAAAAAAAAAATTTGTTGAGATTTTAGTTATAGTTTTTAATTAAGCGCAACACAGCAAATGCATTTATGAATTATTTATAAACTATTTCAGTGGCGGCTGTTTCTTCGACTGCAGGGATTTGCAGCTCCCTGCTTTATGTGCGCAACTTAGCCATAAACTAAACCAAATCTTGGCCAGAGTCACACTTTTTGCTCGGTCAGTCGGGCACATCAATGGAAAAGGGGGCTATGGAGAAGAGGGGACGGAAAGTGGAGAATGGAATGGCCGGCTTTACAAAGCCCAATGCCGACTTTGGTTATGATTGTCGTTTAATAAATGCAATAAGAAATAATAAGCAGGCCGTCGCTGCAGTTGCTGATCCGCTGCGTGAAGGATCAGCGACGAAAAAGCCAGAGAAATGAAATGATTAAAGCAAAAAGCCGCCATCGTCATAGCCCGTTGTTCGGAGTGACAGTCGGTGCTGTGGCTCGGACGATGTTACCCACATGGGTTGACACACACGCACACCAAGGCAAGTAAGAAAAAAATCCTACAATAATAACAAGAACAATAATAACAAACGAGTCAGACATTAGCCAAAAACAACAATGAGCTAACTCATTGAAACTTATCCAAGGTTAATGCACTCAGGGCTCTCTCTGGAACGAAATCCCTTCCTTATGTATGAACACATATAAGCTTCTTCTTTTTTTATATGTATATGTATTTATATACATACTATTTTTTTTTTTCAATTTGCAGTTCATTTCTGCTGCTGGCTTTGCTCATTTTGAGGCGGAAATTGTTGCAACGCCCTGAAATCGTTTATCAAAACGACAAAATGGAATTGAGTTCCGTTGCGTTTTTGGAACCTTTCAAGAGACAGGCAGAGAGAAAGAGAGATAGATATATATAGAGAGAGAGAGAGAGGGAAGTGTATGTGAGACGATGTAAGCTGCAAATCGATTTGGCCGCTGGCTGCTGACTTGATTGGCTGCCTGGTTGCAAACTGAATGAACAGTGAGCATGTGGCATGTGGCAGCCAGTTCGGCATTATGCTGTATATCCAAATCACCTACCAACAATATGCCCCCTCCTCCACAGAGTTAAAAAAATAAGAAAAGAAAAGCGGCACATTTGCAGCGTTATTTATGTACTTACGCCATAATTATAACTTTTTTCCAGCTCTGCAGCTGTAAGTAAGCGTTAATATTTAAAACTTGGCTACAACAAAACTTTTTCGATTACCGCAGTAAGCAGCAACAAAACTGAATCCTGTCCAGCCGTCCTAACATTTCTTTCTTATTCTTATTGGGTGTTAATGGACTTTTATTCTCTTTCTTTCTCTCTCTCTCTCTCTCTCTCTCTTACTCTCTCTGCTGGTCATTTGAATTGCTGCTTACGCAGTTTCCTTTTTATTTTTTCTCCTCAAATTGCGCAAAATAAATACATATTTATCTAGCTGCCGGTGGTGCTCCACCAAGCTGTACGAAGCCCATGGCCATTCCCCATGGATTAGTGCTTTGGCGAAGGTGTCGTCTGCCAGCCCATAAATAACCAAAAGTGTCAACATTTTATTTTGCTATTTTCTGCTAAGGTTGTTGCCTTTTTTTCTGTTTTGGTCCTTCTCTCCCCTGCTCACACACTCTATCTCTATATTTTCTTTTTCTCCTCTGTCTCTTTCCCTCTCTCTCTCTCTCTCTCTCTCTCTCTCTCTCTCTCTCTGTCTTATCGCGTTTGTCTACGCAGCGTTGCGTGCTTAAGCGAAATGGGCAGGGGTCCTTGCCAGTCCTTAGCAGTCCTTGCCGTCGCCGCTCGTATTTGTTAATTTGCAGTGTGCTTCAGTGAGCGCGAAATTCAATTTAATTGAGCTGAGTGCCTGCGTTAGAGCAGCACTCGACCATTCCACAACTACACCACTTCACCCAATAGCCCCGGCAAAGACATTCGGGCAACCCACTCCAGGCTCCAACTGCGGCTCACACATTTTTCGCTAGATTTTATTATGGCCTGTCCCTGCTTAAAAGCATTCCATGCCAGAGACATGTTGCCCCAACTGCATAAAAGATTCAGCAACGCTTTTAACTGGCTCTCAAGCTTTTGTAGCTAGGCCCCCCTCACCAAATGCCCCTACTGTTGAGTCACTGTTTCCCATCCTGAATCTGGCTGCAGCTCGTGCACCTACGATGCAGTTACAGCTACAGCTACAGCTTAGAAGCTTGTCTTGTCTTTTGCATTGGCTGCCAGGTGTCAAGTTCTGCAGCATGTCGCATAATGTGCAAAATTTGATGAAGTCAACGTCAAGTTCTGCATCTTTGCCTGAGAGCTTGGAGCATTCACTAGGATTTGTTTGCTTGTCGTTGTCCCGCTGCCATGTATTCGTGCAACATGCCCCATAACTTTTTGTGCCACATTTTTGCATGGGGCAGGTTGCTTCAGTGTCGGGCTGCTCAGCTTTTTGGCGTAGGCGCAAGCTGCCTTATAAATTTGCTCGGCCTGCTTTCTGTAAGATGATAGCTTTGGTGTGTGTGATCTGGTTCTGGCTCGAGTCTTGGTTCTGGTTCACTAGCAAATGGCATAAAGCGTGCAACTAATGGTCTTGTATTATCCTAAGCTGTAAATTGTGGCCCGGCCAACAGGCACACTCAATCGCACTCACAGCACGAAAGAAAATCTTTATCAGGTATATAATAGATATTATCTATACAAATTTCCATATATTCGAAATAATTGTACTTAAATTTATCTAGGTATTCAACATTTGAATTTTCAATGTTTGCTCAGGAGCTATTCTCTCATCGCTTGACTTTTGTCGACTTACCAATTGTTAACTTGCAGTATCGTTAGGCCAGTATCCTGCGCCAACTGTTTTTTTTGGTCCTCGGATGGGTAGGGATGCTAAAAAGAAAAACAAATCACGATAAATTAATGTGCAGCACGCACAATTCAATTAACGGTCGCTGGAACAGAATAGAACGGGATAGAAGATTTACAGTCTATCAACACGGAGTACGTGAAGCATAGACAATCGATCAATCATTTCTATGGGTGCTATATAACTATATACCATCATATATATAGAGCGACATTTAACCTGTCACCGGGCGGCGCTGCTGCACTTGAAATGCGTTCCCTCCGAAACTACTGTCTTATTTACTTTATTATGTTGTTTTTTTGTTTTTTGGGTTCTCTTGCTTTGGATGGAATGTTTATCTGGATCTCTGACCAGTGAGTGCACCCCTCTCCAGTCGGCCGCATGGAGTTTCGCGCTTATCAGCGCTGCCACTCAAAATGTCCTCAATTTTGTCGGTCTGGGCCAACTACAGCCGGGTTTCGGTAGCGCCAAATGGGCAAACAAAGGCACGGCCGCGTGTGCATGGAGTGGGAGGGGCGGGAGGGGACTACCGCTGGCCGTTACTCCTCATAAATCTTGCAGCCGGCGCGCCGCCACAGTGGCGTCAGTGAGCAAATAGACCACCCGACCAACCCGCCCCGCCCCATCCAAAGGCCACCCCGCACCCCGCACCCTGCACCAACCAATGCAAGTGGGTGTGCAGGAGCATATTGTATGCAGCAGTCGCCGTAGCAATTCCCTCTCCAGCCCTAATCTAATCGGCTGACGCTGCTGGCGCTTATTACAATTTTCTATTTGTTTTAGCTGTTGTCGTTGCTTGTGCGCTCCATAGATTTCTAATATTGACTCAACGCATTCCCACTGAAAAGAGATCTGGAAGCCAGCCTGAAGTTTCAGTTCTGCACACACCTGGACTAACTAATTTCTGTGGACCTGGCGGAAATAGCTGTCAATCTTTTGGCTTTGCCATTGAAATTGAGATTGGCTTTGGCTTTGCCTTTGGCTTCGGATTCGGCTTGGGCTTCGCTTTTTTCTTTGTTTGACTCGATCCTTTGGCGCATGCGTCGCGTTGGCTTTGTTTAACCCTCTTTGGATGCGACTACATTTCCGGCAGCTGTGGGCGTTTCAATTTTGGCACTCCTCAGCCAAAGGACACTGCCTCAATTTCAGTCGTCACTACGTCCTTTCGTCTGTTGGTTTGTGTATTGTGATTTTGCGGTTGCCGGCAATTGAACTTTTGAGCGATGTACTCGCAGTTCGTAGTTGTCTGCACATGCAATTTGCCATACACACAGGAAGCAATTGTTGTGCCACTGAAATGTACCGTTTTCTTATCCACACAGTGCCCCAAAATATATGGACTGTCAGTTATATACAAATGTACATATACAAATAAATATCTAGCTATATGCCAATATATATTGTACATTGTATATGTAGTAGATTGGGCATTCAGTATTCAATATGCAAGTGCTCAAGTGCCAGGAATTTCGAATTCCATTCGAAATGTGCAACGCTGCACATCCTTGTCGCTTGTCTTGCTATCCTCTGTCTGTCGGCTTGGGCAGCATGTCCTGCGTAATGTCTGTAATGCAATTTAGTTGCCTTGTTGTCCTTGCCGTGCACACCCATTTTGGCCTGTCCTCTGTTGCCTGGCCCTGCTCCCTCCGCCGCTGCCACTCCATCGACTCCTTTAATGCATTTGCCTTATTGTTTGTGTTTAATAAATTTTGCGTGTTGTCTTGTTGTAGATATTGTCTATGCGTCTATCTCTGTGTGTGTGTGTGTGTGTCTGTGTGTGTGTGTGTGTGTGTGTACGTGTCCGGGTAGCAATATTTGTTTGCTGTCCTGCACAGGCCAAGTGGCACGCCCACCGCCGCCTTCAACCCGCTTCGAGTTCAACTCCTGACAATAGCCAATACGAAAACTAGTATATGAAATTTGTGTATTGACAAATAAACGTAGATGTCCATGTAAATACAATGGACATGCCAATGGCAATGTTCCCAGTCCCAGTCGTGACTGCTGTTGCTGCTGCACCTCGTTTTGGGGCATAGAATGCTCAAGAAGTCAAAAGGCATAAATTACATGCAGGTAAATTAAAATGGAATTTATAGCATACTTTGTGGCGTTCATCTATTTAGAGAAATGCTTTTACCCGTCTGCATATGCATTCTATCTATTCTCTGGCTGAGGTTGACATTATTGCGGAGCCAGCTAGTTGTTATTCACAAGCCGGCCAAGGGAAGAATGGTATTTCATACTCTACCTACACCATCTGAAACCTCTTTCAGACTTCCTCCAGATGGTTGATCAAGTTCATTATCAGCCTGTCTGAACCTTATCAAAAGCACATTAATGGCTGTCGCGCTGCTTTCATTTCGACGCCTACTGCTGCCGTTGATGGTGGTTCCATCGGCAGCTTTACAGCGGCGCTCCAATTACGCTAATGTAAGCAATTATGCATTTCGCACACCACAAACACATACATATACACGCACACACAACTATCGACAGACAGACAGCCTCAGAAGCTAACCAAGCAGGCGAGTGCAAACATGTCAAGTGAAACAAAGTCCATTTGGTTTATTAATTTACCATACGACAAAATAATTAATTACTGTCACGCCTTTAAGTTGCTTTTGCCATGTCGACGCCGTGTCCCCTACTGCCTCCCTTTCGCCTGCTCTGGTTATGCCTTCGTTGGCGCTTGCCCTCGCCTCGGGGCCAACGTTTTTGCCTTTGTCTAGTCGCTCGCTTAACTCGCTCCACTTTTTCCACATATTTTCGCCCGTGTTGTGTTTATTTAAACTTGGCAAGTGAATTTGAAACAATCACCACAGACACACGTGTATTTAGTTATACCCTAGATGCATATACATATAAGCCCCCTCCTCAAGTGATGTCGACAAGTGCCATGCAACCTCAAGCATAGGCCTAGGTCCATATCTCTCCCTCCTCTCTCTCTCTCTCTCTCTCTCTCTCTCTCTTTCTCTGTGACTCGCCCCACTATTCACTGCTCTCCCTCCCTACATGATGTCAACATGACTGCAATGCCGTGACACATGGCACAACAAGCCCAAGACGTCGACTCCGGCTCCGGCTCTGGCTCGGTAATGCACACGTACAGCCGGCCAACGACGCCGCCGCCATTAACAACGCCAAATGCGACGCCATTTGTGAAACAAGCTGCAACACCAACAGCAACAGCCACAACAACAACAAGCAACTGCAAATTGCTGCGGCGTCGGCGGCGATGAAAATTGCATTGCGACCACGACGACGACGACGACGACGTCGACGATGAAGTCGGCCTCTGGCAGCCATTATGAAGATTTTTTCCAGTTGCACTACATGTCTAAACAGACCTAAATGAGTGTTTCCACTCTAGTGGAAAGCAAGATAGAGACAGGGTGACTGCGGAGCAAAAAGAGTTAGAGCAAAAGAGGTAAAGAGAGAGAGAGGGAAGGAGAGATAATCGCAACTTTGTCCTCATCCTCAAAGTCGTCGGCGTCACCATGTTGAGGCAAAAAAATAATAATTTGCAACAATCGCGAGGCATACACAAAGTTATAAAGATGCCCTACGGCCAGTATGTGTTCGCGAGTGTGTGAAAGGGTCAAGAAACTGACAAAGGTAGGAGAATTAATTATGCCTATAAGAGGTGGAGGGTGGGAGGCCAGCAAGGGTTAAACTGTGCAAGTGCCACACTTCTATTTTACTCGACCGTCCTCTGGCACTATAAAATGCATTGGCTCTTCTTTATGTTTGATCTCAACAACATTTCCCTAAGAAACTTTTTGGTAGCTGTGGCAATCCGTCGTCGTTCACTGCAGTAGCGCATCTTGAGTTCGTATTCGCCCACAATAATAAACGTGCCACACACCAAGCGCCAGCGCTGACGCCGCCACCGTGGGCTGCAACATGTAACATGAGCGCTGACAACAATGCAGCCGCTTGCAAAAGCCGCTCCCCTTGCCGTGCTCCGCGTTTACCGTTTTGGCCATTTTGCGCTTTTTTCGGGGGTTACTTTTCAGTGTGGCAACTGCAACGACGCGGAGTCGCAACAACAGCAAACTGAATCGAAAAGCCGAAGCCGACAAGCCTCAAGCGGTGTCAGACGCCAGACGGCGGCAGGCGGCCGGAAGAAAATTGCGAGCCGTACACATGGAAACAGGCATGGGATCTGGCATATGTGACTGGGACCGGGAACGGGACTAGCGACTGGGCACATGTGGCAGCGAGTAGGCGGAGCACGCGAAATGAAACTTTTTGCTCGTTGGTATTGCCCGTTGCCTTAGCTGTTGTTGCCGTTGCCGTTGCCTGTCTGCAATGCGCGCCAAATGTAAACAAAATATTCGCGCGCCTGCCATAATTATGGCAACAACAACAGCAGCAACAGCAACAACTACAACAGCAACAGCAACAGCAACAGCAACATGAATGCAGCAATCAGCAACAACAACAAAGCAGCCATGCATTGCATTGCCCTCGTTCCTCGGCTGTTGTTTGGCTGTCTTTTGTTTTTGGTTGGCCAGCCAGTGCGCGCTTAACCCAGCCCCAGTCTCAGTCCCCATTTGCAGTCCCGGTTCCCCAGCAGACTGCAGTGCACTTCATTAGCACCAACGTCATCGTCGTCTTATTTGGGGTCTGGTTTTTAACGACTTTAGCAACGCCAGCGTCGCCATCGTCGCCATCGTTGCCATCGTTGCCATCGTTGCCATCGTTGCCATAGTCGACAACGCCATCCATGTCGCGCATGTTGGCAATGGCTGTGCCGGTCATGCATTTAGTTTGACGAGCTGGCATCGAGTTTCACTTGGCAGCCGATGTCTGGAAAACTGTTAATTATGCCAATGGAAATCGGGTGATAAATCAAATTGGCAAGCATTGCATTTGCATTATCTAAATGCGACTTTGAATACAAAATTAAAGTTCGAACAAAAACAATTTCCCTAATGTGCCCAAACTGTTAATAGCATTAAGCTAACAACAACAATAGCAACAGCAACCGAAAGAAAAAAGAAAATCAGTCAAGGATATGCAGACGCCCGCCGCGGAGGCTGTGAAAATCGAGCCGAAGTCGGCAGTCGGTAGTCGGTAGTGGGTAGTCGGTGACGCCTTAGCCGGGTAAACATGAATGATGCGCTGATTTAAACGGCAATCCATCAATGTCAGAGGGTGGGCGCTTCTGAGCGGGGGGTAGGCTAATGCCGCTTCTAGTGGGGGTGGCGCATCAGCTTAGCTAGCTATTTTAAAACTGCGCCAGAAAAATTACTGAATGCTGAACCAGAGCAGATAAACATTCCAGCGTTCAACTTTAATTTCCGATTTGTTTGCTTATCGCCTGTGGCTGGCCTTCGGGGTCTGTCTTGGGTGTTGGTCACTGCAGACTCCTAGTCGTTAGCCAATACACACACACACACACACACACCCACATGCACACACGCACACTTTTATAAAATTCCATTAAGATTTTTATCATTTTACATACGCAGCAACCGCAAGCGAAGGGCGAATGTGGCTAATGGCCAAAATGTAGCGCAGCAGTTTGAACTTCCTTAACAGCCGCTTGACCGTAGCGCATAAAATCTTATAGTTTTGTTCCTTTTATTTTTTATTTTTTTTATTTCTCGAGGACAACCCTTACGCTCGGTTGAAACTCTTGTACGTATCCTGCATCCTTCTGCTTAACATAAAGTGGCGCATAACAAATCTGTTTATTTGTATTAGACATCCGGCCCGCTGGACTTTCCGGTCTGAACTTTGATTTGGCTGACCAGGTTTCTGTTGAATAGTTTTTGGCTTTGGCAATTCGCTTTTATTATCGCATTTTGGGACAGTCCGAATGTCATTTATCTGAGCACTTTGATGGCTCAAATGGAAATCTAATTGGAAGCGATGACCGAGCCATAAGCCACTCTATGGACTACATATCCACTACGCATACAGCAGCCAAAATTGAGAACCTGGCCTAAATGGTTACTTAACTGTTCCGTTGCGGTTGTTTGATTTGCTCAGTCTGTTTCCATTGCCTTTGATAAGCATGCGAATGAGTTTATACATGTTTTTTATTTTTACTGCGCAGTTGAGACGAATTAAGTAAAGGGAGCTGCCCGTTCGACAGTCGGGCAGATCATCAATTTCTAGTTTGCGCATCTTATTATCTTATCTGCGGACTTATGTTTGTCGTGCTCTATTTAGAGCCGCCTTCAATTAACGTTTACAACACCTCGTGTAGCCACGCCCATTGAAAAAGCGGCTATTGGGCATGGAACTGGGACAGTAATCTTATCAAGGCAGCATGGAAAAAAGGTGGCCAAAATCAAATATGAGGCTTATCGCAGACTAATAACAAACGGGGGCTTGCCCGTCCGGTAGAGTTTTAGCGAATCCAACTGAAGAATGCGATAGGCTGTGGGGGTGAGGGGCTCTTAGCTTGTTGGGGCTGTGATTGGTGCAGGTGTTTTTTTGTTTTTTGTTTTTTGTTTTTGATTGGACTTACCGTTAAATGCTGAAACAGCCACGCTCTCAATATGTTTGTTGCTACTTTTGGGAAAATGCCACGTTTCTTTTGGTTCTTTTTGCCACTCGCATCGTCGTCCTCCTCGCCGGTGCCCTCGCCGCTGCCTATGCTGGCGTTGCTGGCATCACCTGTAAGAAAAAAGAGAAAGAACCGAAGAGTCTAGTTTAGCCAGTCGACTTTTGGTCTACAACTTATGTCAATATTGCCACAGCACTAGGCGGCATCACCACAGCTCACAATTGTGTTTGCTCATTTTGGCCAGTTGTGTTCTGTTCTGTTCTGTTCTGTACATAATGTTTGTCAAGTGAGCATTAAATAACTTTACTCGTCTCTGGCTGGGAGCAGCTCTGGGATGGCCAGGCTGCTGCTTAAACATAATGATAATCATATGGATGACATTGTTTGTGGCTGCCGTTTAAGACAAGTCAGGTCAGTCCTAGTCTCTGTCTCTCTCACTCTCTCTCTCTCTGCCTCTCGCCCTGTATCAAAATTTGTCTGTCTCGCTTGTTGTGGTTTATAAACAAAATTAATATTTGTCATACGCAGTCTTTGGATTTGGCTTTGCCTATGTGCTTTGGTAATGTTCATGCATAATTTTTGGTTAATTTAAATTTTCTGGGGCTTTTATCTTTTGTTTGCATGGGAACACCATCACCATCATCATCTGCATCTCCGCCACTGCCAACTCCCACTCTAAGCATTTCCGCTTGGCGTTTGTTTTCCTTTTTTGGCCTCGGCATCATCATACTCATCGTCATCATCATAACCGGCAGCAACATCATATGATTTTGTATATTTTTGTTTAATATTAAGTATGTTATTTGTGTGTTTACTTTAAGTTTTAGTTACACTTAAGTAACTCAAATGCCTTCTTTGCCTCAAACAGGAAGCCCCAAATGGCTGCGCACATGCAAACAAAATAAACCAGGTCCACATACCCTAGCTGCGGCCTACAGTCCATGGTCCGTACCATGAACTATTTGGCCCAGCCTAGCCCGGCTGGCCCAATATTGCATAATTTCACGCTCCGACCCTGCTCCGAACTGAATGTGCCAAAACAAATATTTCTCAACACCAAACATAGTGCGTCTATGAATGTCTAACTTGGAAGCTATGACAGCGAGTTCCTCTCCCTGGTTGCTTCATAAATTTTCCATGCTTTATCTTTCGCACAACACCTTTGCCTCTTAGTTGCTTTCGCTTTCCCTTCCTATTTGCTTCACCTGTTTTTCCTGCTGGCTTTTCATTAATTTTTCAGTTAACTCATTCATTAATTTTCAACAGCACTGAAAAATTTCACAGAAGCACATGCCTAAAACGCGAGCACACACACACACACACACAGAATACACACACATTCATGGTGGCAGACTTCACGCCATTTTGCGTAAACCGGAAGTTCGTTTTGATTAATTTAGTCGCCGATGGAGACGTCTGTTGAGTGGTCGACTGGACAGCCAGCTGTGTGGTTGATTTTCTAAACACGACCATAAAACAAAAGCTGATGTTAAACAACATAAAACAGAGACATGCAGAATACCGAATGCCCTTCGAATTTGCAAATTTGATTAAACAATTTAATAGGTTTACAAAATGCTCGAATATCTCAGAAGCTTGCATTTCTTATTTATTATTATTTTTTTTTTTATTCTACTATGTTGAAATATTCCTCAAGTTTAGTTGATTGAGTTGATTTAACAAAGAACTAGAAAGCGAAATAATTTTTAAATAGGCGTCCATAAATAAATTTCAACATTCTGATTGACTGAGTCAAAAAATTGACATACCCTTACCCGGAAGAAACGCACAAGTGTATGCATTAAAAGTTGTAAAATTAATTTACCAGAAACAAACGAAATAAAAAAATTCCAAAACAAAAGAATACCCCAAAAGGCGCACTTGTTGGTCATTTTGATGGGCCTTGCTTTCCACTAAGCTTCGTGGAGCGGTCTGCATAATTTAGCAATTATGGAAATGCGTGATTGTGGTGGCATTTCGCTCTGACCAGTCAGAGAGGCGACGCATACAGTCAGTAGAGCCGGCGTCCATTATGGATGCAGTTGCTCTGTTGGCTTCTTCTGGCGTGCTTATCGGGCAGGGCATGGCGGCGAGCTGCACTTTAGGCAGGGCGCATTGAGCAACTAGCTGCTGGCACTTAACAACTTCATTAAAAGTTGTTTATGATCCTCGAAATTGATTATTCCACTCATACGTAAAGCGTCCCCAGACGCGGATGCAGAGGCGGACGCAGGCAAAGTCGGCGGCATCATTCGCGGAGCACTCAAATCGCGCTGGGCGCGCGCTTAAGAAAACATGAAATTGATTAATGCATTTGGCTGCAACATTGAGGCACATCCAGATACAGAGGTGGGGAGCTGATGCTGACGCTGAGACTGAGGCTAAGGCTGAGGCGGAACGATGGTGCCGTCGGTATCTGCTGCTGATATGTAAATTCCTTCAAGTGGATTGCACTTTGCGCCAAAGACTCTCGACTCTCGACTCTCCACTCCCGACTCTCGAATCGAAGTCATTTCTTTGGCTGTGTGCTCCAATTTTACATTCATTTCGTGGCAGGGATCTGGCAAACCAAAACACACAATTAATCTTTGCCCAGAGCCGCGTAAATGTTGCTTTTTGTGTTGTTGTTCGTTTTGTTGCTGTTGTTGTTGTTGGTGTTGGTGTTGGTGCTAGTGTTGCGGCTGTTGCTTATTATTGTTATAATAACGATGTGCAAAAGCACTTGTGGCACTTGAGCGGCACACTCGTGTTACAGAGATTGGGGCAACTCGGTGTTGGACTGCATCTGGATTGGGTAGCCGGTCTGCCAAAGTGCTTTTTGTTGTAGTACTTACTATGCGGGACGATAAAGCGGCGCGTATTTTTTAATTGAATTGTTAAGCGCAGCGCAAAACTTAATTAATTTTCACTATAACTTTGGCGACTTTATGGAACCGTCCATCGCCCTCTCGGTTGCCCCTCTGCTGCCCTCCCTCTATAAGTTTGTATTGGGCAAATAAATTCGATGCCGTCGCAATTTTCGTTGCTCGCTGCGGGTGGGTAATGAACGAGGGGTCCGGCGGTCGGGGATCGGGAATCGGGCATTGGGGCTTGGGTAGCATTGTAACAAGCATTTTTATTTATTATTGGCTTAAAGCGCTGGCGACGAGCGACTGCAGGACGAAGTACAAAGGATGCAGGAGCCACTGCGTCTTTGGCCCAGACAAACTGACAGAAAGACGGACAGACAGACGTATGTTGTTATTATTGCAAGGCAAAGCTCCTCTTGCCCTGTTCCTTCTACCACACTCCGAAAAAAGAAAATGTTTAGCTACAGTTGCCATTGGTTGGCTGGTTAGTTGGTTTGCCCTGCTTGCCACATTTTTTTTTTCTACAATTGCGCAAAATTCCAATTTGCAGTAAATTTTGCGATTTTTCCTTTATACGGACATACAAAACATTTTTAGTTTCCTGCTGGCTTTTCTTACCCACACACAGAGAGACAGAGGAAGAGAGAGAGAAAGAGAGAGAGAGAGAGAAGGAGAGGGAGAGATAGAGGAGTAAGAGAAAGAAAAGGATGGACAGAGAGAAATGGAGAAATAGTTCAAGGCACGAGCCATTCAGAAGCGAGACAAGTAAACCACCTACGCTCAGTTGTCGCCCCTAAGCCATCAACAGAGTCGGAGACGTCGGAGGAGCCAACCCGAGAAACCTGACCAAGTTGCATTTTGACTACTTATAAATATTTGAAATGAGTTTAATGGAAGACTCTTGACCATTTGCTAAAAGATGCCACTTGATGCGCAGCTTACGCAGCGACTGTCCCTTTTCTCCCTTATTCCATAGTTCTTTGTAATTAGCTTTAGAATATATTGCCCGATTAAAATACGTACGAACAGGCGGACAGTCAGACAAACAACAGCCTTGGGTCAATCGAACCTAAAAACTTTATTGGATCAAAGAATCCCACTTCCTGTTATATACATTTTTATTTCAAGATGTGTTCTGTGATAATACAACCCTTTACTCTTCCCCATTATAATTTCTACATCATTATCAAGTAACCCTCGCTCCTATTTTCCGCTCTTCATTTATATACTCAATAAAATTGTGATACAAAGTTTTAATCTTGAATTCTTTAAATCAAATGTTATCAGCATGAATAGCACATATGCTACCTATCGGAATCGTAAAAGAAAGAGTCTGCCTATGTTCTTATATCTTACTTATAATAAATTGTATATTTCATGCCCAAATTTCAACTGAAAGTAATCAAAAGATTTATACTTATAAATGAAGGCGAAAAATGTTAACTGGCAGTTTAATTTGACAGTTTTGAACATTTCTGGCTTACATAAAAGAAAAACAAATAACAAATATGGCGTCATATGGAAGAGGCCAAGAAAACTGATAGGAATAATAAATAGAAATAATATGCTATAATTGCATTTAAAAATTTCAATAACAAAATGCACTTTTCCATACTGTTAGCGATAGCAAAGAAAACAAACAAATTGCTTTTCAAATAGACAACGAAATAAATTAAAAAAAAATATATATATAGGAGAAACGAATTGTTTTTTCATTATTCGAGCCAGAAACGCGTAGCTAAATATACGAAACAACGAGCACTTGACTGGGAACTATGGAACTAGGCGGAGGCTATGGGCGGGTGCCCCAGAAGAAGCAGCTGAACCGAACCGTGGCAAGTCGTAGCCAACAGGCAAGCAGTTTTCAATTAGTTTTTAAATAAACTTTTTTCCTAGTTGCTTCACACAAAATGAAAACCAAACGCCCAACTTTCCATTTTCACGCTAGGTGCGGGTGTGTGTATTGTTGGAGTACGTGTGTGTGTGCGTGTTTTGTGTATGAGTTTTCGTTTAAAACATTTTTTGCGCCTTCGACTTGGGGCATTTGTTTATACAAAATCATGCCAATCGTCTGTCAATCATTTTCCAATGGGCACAGCCCCTGAGTGCCGACCACCGCACACCGTACACCGTACAGTGAACACTGAACATGGCGGAAGTCTGCTTAAGCTCACAGGGCAACTTGCGGCGTTTCGGGCAGGGTCTCTCGAGTGCGAGTACGGATCCATGGCGATGGGCTGGGCAGCTAATTGAGTTTCGCT